ACTTTCCCATGTGATCATGTCCCCTGGGGCAGAAGCCAAAGCAAACCCTCCCTCCTCCTCAGCTACCCTATAACAGCATCATAGACAGTCACTAACCCTGGAGTGTGGTGGTCATGCTTGGGATCCCAGTGCTCAGGAGGCCAAGGCAGAAGGACCAAGAGATACAGGCTAACTTAGACCTGTGACACACGTAAAAAAGATGGCAAGAGTTAAGAAGCATCAGGACATGCCACCTACCTGAAAATACAGACAGTGCCTGAGAATTAGCACACCTTCCCCAAGGGCCACCTCAGAAGCCACAGTTCTGGAAGAGAGGAGACCCTGAGCTTTCTATCCCACTGGAATTCTTCACCACAGACAAAACTAAAGCCAAGAGAATGAGAGAGAGGGTCCCTTGAAGCATGGGCCTGCTTGACCAGAAGATTGGAGTCAGACTATGAGGCAGCTGACACCCAGCCAGGGCTCTGCACACAGGTAGCTTCAGATCCCACTGCGATGGAGGGGTCACTTCCGCAGTTAGAGAACCGCGGAACTATGCTTCCACTGAGCGCTCGCAGGCTCTCAGCGGGTAAACTTACAAGTGATGGGAAGAAAATAACAAGGACATCATTCTGAAATAAACATTACTAGCTTTCCTGAATCAAGGGACATTTAAAATGTGTGGCAGCATCTAAGTGGCATTTTTAAAGTTCTAAAGCAAGCAAGCAAAGCAACATGCAGACACCTCATTCATACGACACCAAATCCAAGAATCTTTTCCAGGTCACACAGCTGGCCAAACAGTTTCGTTTGAATGCTTTCAGGGATGAAGAACACTTTTTTTTTTTTTTTAAAGTCTGGGTTGGTGGGCAGTGGTGGCACACGCCTTTGCAGGAGTTCAAGGCCAGCCTAGTCTACAGAGTGAGTTCCAGGACAGCCAGGGCTACACTGAGAAACACTGTCTCGAAAATGCAAACAAACAAAAACTGTGGGTTGTCTCCACTTCAATCGCCCAGCTTACTGACAAGGCTATTGGCTAAGTCTGATGGTGTCGCCCAGCCTTGTGTACAGGAAGCACAGTCCCAACGTGCACAAGTGTTTGAAGTGGCGTCTGATGGAAAAGGGTTAGGTCATGAGACTCCACCTTTAAATGCACGTTTAGCACATTGTGAGAGCTTAAGGCTAAGAGTTTGCGTGCTCTAAGCTACCGCGTGACAACTTCCCACACATGACCAGGTAACAAAGTCCTCACAGGATATGTTTCCTTGATCTCAGACTTCCAACCTCCAAGAGCTGATAACTGTTTATTACTAACACCCCAGTCAGTGTATTTTGCTACAGAACACAAAAATAAAAGTATTCTAGATGAGGAATATTCTAGTTGGGGAATATTATTTTAAGGTGTGTTTCTCTTGTTTGTGCCATGGAACACTTGTTTAACGATGTGAAGCTGTGTTGCTTTTGTTTACGCTGCATTTGTTTAACTCTGTGAGGCTGTGTCACTGTGCCTGCCTAAAACACTGACAGTCTAATAAAGAGCTGAATAGCTAATAGCGAGGCAAGAGCCAAGGGTAGGTGGGGCTGGCAGGCAGAGAGGATAAATACATGAAGAGAAATCTGGGAAGAAAAGGGGAGCAAAAGAGCAGGGAGAGGAGGACACTAGGGGCCGGGCACCCAGCCACGGAGGAAGAGTGAAAGTAAGATACACAGAAGTAAGAAAAGGAAAAAGCCCAGAGGCAAAAGGTAGTCAGGATGACTTAGTTTCTAAATGATTCCATTTAGAAGCCTTGAATGGAGGAGTGTGCTGCTTAAGTCTTACAGCAGGTTGGAGACAGGGTCTGAGGAACAGCCACCATCACCAAAATCCCAAGAATCCAGCAATGAGACCATAGCTACCAAGGGTCTATTTGAAATCTGTACTACTCATTGGTCAACGTATTGAAATCTGGTATTAATAAAATGTCAAAATAGCATACATGGTTAAAATAAAATACAAAAGTATGTTGATTGTTTGAGGAGAAAGTAAAAGTAAGTCTGCTAAATCATTGGGCAAATTGGGAAATCATTTTAAATAAACAGATCACATCATTACACAGAAAAAAAAAAGAAAGAGAAAGAAAGAAAAAAGAAAGGGGGCTGGAGAGATGGCTCAGAGGTAAAGAACATTGACTGCTCTTTCAGAGGTCCTGAGTTCAATTCCCAGCAACTACACGGCAGCTCACAGCCATCTACTATGAGATCTGGTGCCCTTTTCTGGTGTTCGGGCAAAACATGCAGCCAGAATACTGTACACATAATAAATAAATAATGATTTTTTAAAAAAGAGAAAGAAAGAAAGAAAGAAAGAAAGAAAGGAAGGAAGGAAGGAAGGAAGGAAGGAAGAAAAGCTGGTAAGAAGTCAAGCTAAGCTGGGCATTCCTAACTAAGAATAAGCATTTGTGTGTGATTGAGTTGGGAGCTGGGTGGCAGGGCCCCTAAAAGAGTAAAATACTGAATTAGTCTAGTTTATCTTTTCCGTCAGCTTTGACACCAATGATGAGCCTAGCATTGTGTGCGTGCGTGTGCAGACCACAGGTCAACATGGAAACTTTCTCAATTGCTCTCTACCTTATTTTTCTGAGGCAAGGTACCTAACTGAACCTCTGGAGTCCACGGATTCAGCTATATTAGTTGGCCAGCGAGCCCTAGAGGTCGTCCACTCTGCTCCTCCTGTACTGGGGTTAGGGTGTGTATCCTCACACCTGGCTGCTCAGGAGTGCTGGGAATTGGCACTTGGGTCCTGTTTGGGAAGCAAGTACCTTATCAACTGAGCTATCTTCCCAGCCCCACCATTCCCCCACTTATTTTCACTTTAAAAAAAAATTATTTGTATGCTGTTTTGCTGGTACAGACGTTTGTGCACCACGTGCATGCAATGCCTGTGGAGGCCAGAAGAGGGCATGAAATCCCTCTGGAGCTTGAGTTACAGATAATTGTGAGCTGACAGGTGGGTGGTGGGAATTGAACCCAGGTCCTCGAAAACAGTAGCCAGGGCTCTTAACTGCTGAGCCATCTTTCCAGCTCATAGACATAAAGTACTAATCATCTAAGCGTGTCTCAATCCAGCAAAGTTCCAGACTCTTGTGGGGGCCCACAGATGTGAGCCTGTTCCACATTGACTAAAGGTCAGAGTTTGAGCTTATTTTTGCTCTTTCAAAGTTGTTGATAACAGGTGTGGCTACAAACAAGAGATCCTGACCCAGGGTGTGGTTAATCAGTATTTTGAGTATAGAGGTGGATCTGTTCCACCTTGCTATTCCTGCTTCTTCAAAGGAGACTGGCAGGAGGTTCCAGGGACTGGCTGCCTGCAGGATACTTGGTCTATTCCTTATATCATATTAATAAGTCTGTTGTCTTCCCCCTCCCCTTTTGGAATGAGGTATATGAGCCGATGGAAAAAACGCAGGTGGTTCAGTATTCAGTGAATGCCGCCCCCCCCCATGCTGTTCCGTGTCTGCCTTCTTATTTCTCTATCTGTTCCTTGAGTTTAATAATTCTAATCCTCATGCTCCTACACTGGAACGTGCAAATTTTGTCGAGGTTGGACCCTGACAGACACTGTGTTGGTTCCCAGGAGTAAAGAGGAATGAGACATAAGCCCTGGAAAAACTTAAGGCTCAGAGGAGGAGAAACAGTGCGGAGGTGACCTCGGACAAGGCTAGCCCCAGCAAGGGGAAGACGGCCGCGTCTAAACCAGGCTAGAGACAGAAGCTACTATGGTGGAACCAGAGGAGACACAACAAGATCGTCACACCAAGATAAAATGCTAAAATTTCAACATAAGTTATTATACAAAGGTTTCATCTGAACCAAATCTGATCGGTGTTAATGAGGGTCTGCCGAAGAATCATCACTAAGAGATTAAGCAATACATATCTGCTAATTAAAAGTATTCTACAACAAATCTTCAAATCAGTTGCACGGCAACAATTCCCAAGAGATGAGGTTTGTGTTTTTGGCTTCAGGAGTGAAGTATGAAGTCACTGTTTCACGAAAATTCAAAGCATTAAAACATGGACATTAAGGATTCCAAAACAACTCTCTCTCTCTCTCTCTCTCTCTCTCTCTCTCTCTCTCTCTCTCTCTCTCTCTCTCACACACACACACACACACACACACACCACAATACTCACTAACATCAGTTTAGTTGAACAATACTTAGAGTGAAATAGCTCAGATCTTAAGCTATCAACTTTCAGTTACTTAAAACTATTAGATATAAAAAAATAATTAAAATTCCTTGCGAGCACACAATCTTCTATAAGGTCCCAAAGAGCACGTCATTTCCTTGTGGGCTTTCTATGATTCTGACACTATTTAGCGTTCCAGCTGGTGGTTAAAAGAAACGAAGACACAGCCTAGGTCTCTGAAGTCTCCTCACAACACATCCATGCTGTTCTCATACTTTGGAGTTAATGTTTAATTCATCCGGTCAGTTGTCTATAATCAACAGTGATTTTCATTTCTACAGAGTTCTCATAATAAGGATCAGTATGATCAGTTTTTAGTAGGAACCAGAGGAAAGACAAGCTTGAGGACGCCTCTTGTCCTTAGACATATTTTAAGCCACTTGGTCATTTTTAACTTCTTACCTCCTAGGGCACAGTGGGCATACCTGACTGTTCACACCACCCAGGGGGCGCTATTCCCTCTAAAGAAGGGTCTGTAGTGGGAGTGGTGGAGGGAGGGAAAGGAGAGGGAAAGTAGCTAATAGTTAACAATCACTTTGGGAGGAGCATTTCCAAACTGCCCCGCTCACCACCACAACCACGGAAGTCAGCTAGAGCTGAAGCTAGAAGCACACTTACCAGTGCTATTAAGAATGATTCAAGAAAGATTAGGAGGTGGGTAAAGGGGACTTCTGAAGATGGCTGCACCTACAGAGATTTGGTGTCCCAGCTGGACCTGCAGGAAGGCAAGGAACCAGAGCAGCAACTGTTTCCATTACCCGCATGCATACCTGATCCACTCTCAATGCTTACCTCCAATATTCTGAATTATTATGGTGCCTGCAACCACCACCTAAAAAGGGACAAATGTATTCAGATGATAAAAGGGAAACGGTACAGAAGGAGAGAATTTTATAATTAACAAACAATACCACAAGGACAGATGCACTGTCTTATGAATGAACAGATATCGGAAATAAATTCTGTCAGCTGTCTGTACTATGTGAAATTAATGAACAGTGCATAAGTCTTTCCTCAACACCTCCATAGTTACTATAAAGATATTTCTGAAGTCTTTCTTAGCAGTCATGTTTGAATAGCTGAAAAATGTTATAAAGCTGGTAAGTCGTGATTGCCGACGTCTAACTGAACCTGTAGTCTCTTTCTTACTGGCTCTACCACACTGCTTTAGTAGTTATCCCAAAACAGACTGGAGTGCGCTGTGTCAACATTATAGCACCTAGAGGGAGCAGATGGCCTTCTGATACCAGCTGGGCACAGTCTCAAAGATTAAACAGCCTACAGCAGAAAACTCCAGCACACAACGACCAGATCGGGAAAATGTAAGCAATGTGTTTCGAACTCAAAAGTGTGAAATAAGCTAAAGTCTAAATGAGCAGGTGCTGGCAAGGACAACAGTAAACTGGAGCCTCCCCCCTCCCCCCAGGAGCGCCTCCTCTCCACTCAGTCTGGTCAGCTGACAGCACGGGAAAAAGTGGATCCAATGTAGCCAGGTCACCCAGTAGTTAGTAAGCCAGAAACTGAATTTCACACCTTCAAGAGTATAAAAGTTGGCAACTAGCTAAAAATAAAGAAGGTCTGTGCTAAACAAAAACTGCTCAAGAACTATGTCCAGTCTGTTTCCGGCCCTGGATGAGACTCCTGGGGGATGCAAAGGAAATGTTTAAATCTTATATTCTCTCTTGGGCCTCCTGACACCTGGGCTGTAGCCACCAGCAGACATTTGGAGCTGAATAGTCAGACCTCCATAGACAGAGGACAGGTCACACTTGAGGTTCACCTCCTGGGGCAGAGCACTGCCTATGCTGCAACCATTGAGCTTCCTAGGAGCTGGAGTCCTTGTAGGTGCAGAAGCCTAATGAGCTGGATTCTGGCACGGTCTCTAGAGATGCACGTGTGCTGGACAGTTTTATGTCAACCTGACACAAGCTAGAAGAACCTGAATTGAAAAAAAATGCCCCCATAAGACTGGGCTACAGGCAAGTCTGTAGGGCATTTTCTTATTTAGGGATTGATGTGGAAGGGCCCAGCCCATTGCGAGTGATGCCATCCCCAGGCTAGTAGTCCTGAGTTCTATAAGGCCAGCTGAACAAGCCATGAGGAGCAAGCCAGTAAGCAACACCCCTCTGAATCAACTCTTGCTTTCACGTTCCTGCCCTGTTTGACTTCCTCCCTTAACATCCCCCAAAAGGGATGGACTGTTCCCTGGAAGTAAGCCAAATAAACTCTGTCTTTCCCAGTTTGCTTTGGTTTATGGTGTTTCATCACAGCAAGAGTAACTAACAAAGAGAGTGGTTATGGTCATTCCAGTGTTTTCTAGAAGGCAGTTTGCATCTCAGCTTAAATATGAGTTCCTGAAATTCAGTCATTTGTGGGAAGACCATTCTGACTCTGTGTAGACCATCTGCAAATGAAACCCCTGGCCATACACATGAAATACCTCCATTTTCTATGAATATATTGCACATACAGTATCTTAGCACTAACCATGTCTCCATTCCTTGCCTAAGTTTAGGTATTTAGTGTTTAGAAAGCCAGAATAAATGTCTGCCTACTTGCACTTTTTGTGCCTACTACAGTGCATGACCATAGCATTGCTCAATAGATATTTATCTGATACATAAATACACAAAGAAATTTTTAAAAATATTCCTTAAATTTTTCAAAAATATTTCTTTGAACTGCAGAATATTATCCAACCACACATAAAAAAATGTGAAGATTTCAGAACAATTATAGAAATGGGGAAGAAATGCAAACAAAATCTAACGAGTCCTCACTCTGGATACGCTCTGTCCAGTGCAGCTGCCTCCTCGGAGGCTGTTATATGCATATGCACGCACCTATGCATTAGATGTGCTATTGTGTTATGAAGAACATGTGGAAAGCTAAGGCTGACTGCAGGAATCTTCTGCTATCATTCTCTACCTTTTTGAAACACAGTTTCTCTCTCAATTTGGAGTTCGCTGTTTTGGTGAGGCTGGCCGGCCAGCAACATGCCCCATCCCCAGAATCTCCCTGTTTCTGCATTTCTCCTTCAGCATTTGAGTGCTGTGGGATAATTCTCTTATACACTCTAAAGATGTGTTACTTGTACTTGGTTTAAGAAAACACTGATTGGCCAGTAGCCAGGCAGGAAGTAATAGGTGGGGCAACCAGACTGGAAGAATTCTGGGAAGAGGAAAGGCAAAGATGCAGTCATTGCCCAGAAGCAGGGGAAGCAAGATGAGAATGCCTTACTGAGAAAAGGTACCAAGCCACATGGCTAAACATAGATAAGAATTATGGGTTAATTTAAGTTGTAAAAGCTAGTTAATAATAAGCCTGAGCTAATAGGCCAAGCGGTTGATAATTAATATAAGCTTCTGTGTGGTTCTTTGGGACTGAATGGCTGGAGAACCAGGCGGGCGGGACAGAAACTTTCATCTACAACTGAGGTCACAAGAATATGCTGCCATGCCCAGGTTTTACACAGGTGCTGGGGATCTGAACTCAGATCTTGATGCTTATACAGCAAGTACTTCCTCCCCACCCCGGGGCATTGCCATATACAAACACATTTCTTCTCCTCTGGTTAAACTACATGGAGGGAATGAACCAGACACACTAAACACCCTGCTCTCCAGGAAGCAAATGTTCCTGGGAACAACTGAGGTTTAGATTACGAAGATGTAAGGCCTGCCCAGCGTTTCTGAGGTTTACGTACTCCTTATACATTTTAAGAGGAAGGCAACTGGAGGCAAATGCAGCTTCTCTTCCTGCTGCAGAGCTGCATCTTCCTCCAGGACTCACTTCTTAAAATCAGCTTAGCCAGTTATAGTATGGTACCCACTTAGCGTTTAAACAGGAGAATAAATGGGTGAGGTAACTCATAGGTCAGTTAGCTCAGATGCATACCTGTTTCGAAGTACCAAGTACATGCTATAGTACTTTGTTTGTTAACTTAAATGCAAACAGAAAGTACTAAGGCAGATTTACAACCAGAAGAATTCTTGTTTAGAACCAAAATAAATGTGGGTAACTCTTGAGGCACTGAAACAGAAAGAAAGCAGCTTAACTCTAACACTGACAGCAGTGCTTAACTCCTGGTAATCGGTAGGAAAAAACATTTCCCTACAACTTTTAAAGTTAGGAAGTCACCAAAAAACAGTGCCGATAAAAATTGGCATTTATTTTATTATTCTAGGAAGTAAAACCAGTATATATAGCATCTACAGTCCTCAGATATAGAATGGGTGTTGGGTAACAGTTGATAAGAGGTCCCTGAACAGATCTGGATCTTAATTTCCTCACATGTAAACAAGAGGGAGAGCTAGGCAATCTTTTAGCATTGTTCAGCTCTTAAATAATACTACCTAATTACTGCTTTTGAAAAAAGCCAGGCTATAATCTTAATTCTATTGTTTTCTTCCCTTATAAGGATTTACTCAGAGGATCTGATCAAAATTAATGAGAAAACTTCAGGGTCCCGTTACTCTGCAGCTCAGCGAGTCAGCAACAAGACTTAAAAACCGCACTGGCTGACGGCAGTGCTTCTGCAGGGGCCACATTCTCTTGACTTTCCTGTCCCATTGTCCATCTCTTACTTCCTTTCTTCATCTCCTAAGGTCTTCCCCACATACACGACCCTGTGAACTTGGAGGAGAAGAGAAATGCCCCAAGGGGAGCAAAGGAAATCACCTTTCCAGGTAATCCAAACGCGAAGAGTCCGAGATCTTCATAAGAAGTCACCGCTGTTGGGGGAAAGCACATTTGTCACTGTCACACAAAACTCATTATGAAGGTTATCTTGCAAGCTAGGCACAGTGTCGTCCTCAGCTTCAGCCAGTCAGGACTAGCTGTGGCGTGGAGCCCGGCACCCTGGGGTGGAGGGGAAGGTAGGAAAGAAGGCCGCACTCGCGTGGTTGGTTCCTAGAAGGCCTTTGAGCTTTTTCCCTCTGAAATCTTAATTTCCACTCCAGATGTAACCCACATGCTTAAGATTCAGATGTTTTGTAGAATGTGCCTCTCTAATAAGTAGTGATGGGTATTTCTTTTCTTAAAAACAAAATCACCAAGGGGGCTGTGAAGATAGGTCAGTAGTTAAAACCACTAGTTTGATTCCCAGCACCCAAGTGGCAGCTCACAACTTTCCGTAACTCCAGGTTAAGGGGGTCTGATGCCCTCTTCTAGTCTCTGAGGGCACAGGGATGCATACGGGGCACAGACATACAGACAGGCAAGCATTCATGCACATAAAGTTGTTTTGTTTTTTTAAGATCAAAAAGATTTGCCAAGAACTCCTTCTATTATCTTCTCTAGAATATCTCATGTTCTGATTTTGCTTCTCAAATGCACATATTAATGGTCAGTCTCCATTTTTACTACGTTTCTAATTACTGTAAGATAACCAATATCAGCACACTAATATTGGTAACCAGCTAATAGCCGTTTATCTAACTCTCTGACAGTTCTTATCAGTGGAGGCCATCAAGGATAGATGTGTGTTTCTCTTAAATATTCTGAAATACGAAAAGCAGCCAAAAAAAGAAAAACCCACTATTAGTTCTGAGAGCTAGTCACTGAGGTCAACCCACCTCACAGTCGTTGATAGATGACTAAATTTTAAGCACAGGTACTGATTTGGGGGGGAAGCCTTTAAAAACACATACTTTGTAAAGTGAGAATCTATCTACAACAGGCAGCCGTTAGCAAAACCAGGCTACTCGGCCTACGTTAATTCAAGGGCCTGATTTCTTGGGAACACCCTGCTTCCTTGTACAGGACGTGTGCTCTTGCATACACACTGTCCAAACAGATTTTCACTGGCAGTAATTTCTAAACACTGGACACACAGTAAGGCGGGGTATGACAGCTGTGCCATTTGCCTTCCCAAGTGCTCAGAGTGATGGCAATGTGTTCACAATGGAAACAGTACCCTCAGCCTATAATTAGGGAGGGGCACATACTTTCCTTTTTCATCATAAAAATGTAAATTACATTCTCATTTCATTATGTTCAGGAAGTATGGCTATTAGGAACATAAGAAAATTACAAGGCTTAATAGTATGTAAAAGGGCTACAGTATGTTCTCAGCCCAGGCAGCTCTGCATTTAACAAGTGATGCTGCCGCTATGAGGCTCCACAGTCTGAGGAGTGCGCACGCCCACAGCGCTTACACCATGGAGAGAAGCAGCTTGGGACACACTGAGGCTTGGGACAGCAAGAGTTTCTGTGGGTTACAGAGTTAAAGTCAGCTTTAATACATCTCTTAGGACATACTTGGGCTTTCATTCAACTGCCACTTGAGAACTAAAAAATTTTTTTGGATTTTCATAATGAAGGACATTTAGGTACATAATAATAAGCTTTTTAAAAATCATATGTGGTTTTTCATACAGTAATTATGGAACCAGGAAGAAAAGAGTGGGATATTGAAGGGTAAAAAGATATTAATAATTAACAAAATATTCATTTTAATCTTTTATCAAAGTTCATCAAGGGGCTTGGATACTTTTCTGAGTGATATTATTCATTTTTAAAAATGCATTTACATTCTGATAAACATAGCACACACGTACAATTTAGTACTAGGTTTGGAAGACATTTCTATTATGGGGAGACCATATACGACGGTCACATGGGCTCAAGGCAGCGCACACTCATGCTCAGGTGTGTCTTGTTGCATGGCACCTTTTTCTCTCAACCCTTGTGCTTAAACTCTGTATTAAAGATGCCATTGAATAAATCATAACTCTGATTCAGACTGTCTTGTACCAAAACTCTCTTCTGAGGCGAGGTCAAGGATCCAGTTTTACCTGAGGTGTGGTCCCTAACACATTAAGACCACTGAGGGTAGGAGTACAGGCAAACATGCACCACCGCTCCAGACTTCATCGCTGCTGAAGAGAAACATCTCTATGCTGTGAGCTGTGTTTCTGTCTCTTTATAAAAATCACCTGATCTAGCCAGGCGGTGGTGGCACACGCCTTTAATCCCAGCACTCAGGAGGAAGAGGGCAGGCAGATCTCTGTGAGTTCGAGGCCAGCCTGGTCAACAGGAGCTAGTTCCAGGACAGCTAGAACTGTTACACAGAGAAACCGTGTCTCAAAAAAACCAATAAATAAATAAATAAAATCACCTAAGTGCCTCACTGTATGAAAAATAAATAAATAAATTCCTGATCTTCCAATCACAACAATATGTTCCCCCACCTCTCCGGACTTCCTTCCTTTAATTCCTTCCGACTCAGACGGAATGGAAACGCGGCGTAAGCAATGCCACTCATGTCTACTGTCTTTCTCAGTGATTCCCAGTCATGTCTATAGACATCTGGAGTAGTATAGCATGAGTTTACACCGACACATCAATTAATCCATCAGCATTCCAGAAATACGCACACATTAGCATTTATGTAAATTTAAGCTGAATTAATTATACCGCAACAGAATAATCAGTGGTGCACACAATGAGATAAACCTATACAGAGTAGAGCGACAGTGGGGACTAGGGTGATGCGGGCAGAATACCCCGCTCTGGTGGCTGGGCAGGCTTGTGATGGGCGAGCACGTTTGAAGTGCACTATGTCAAAGTTTCCTCTGCTTCAAGATGATTTCTACTTAAGTTCCCTCTCATATTTTCTAGGTTATAATTAATCTTTCCTTTCAGCTAAGTTCTTTTGGAAGCAAAGTTCTTCTCTTGTCATAAATAAAATAGTTTAACATCTCATTAATTCCCTTACAATATCTTAGATTATGTGTCACAGACACATACACCTGGTAATTTGAACAGATCTAATACAGCAACTGAAAATCATAGCAGACCATGCTTTAAAATAAAAAATAAATATAATTGACATGGTGTTAAAATAAAAAAAAAAAAGGAAAGAAAAACATTTCTTCCAAGAAGTCGAAGCAATGAGGTTTTCCAGTGTTACACATGGGACTACATTAAACACTGCTTTTCAAATTACTATTTTGTATTTGTTTCTTGGTATGTAAGCAAGATGGCATTCATCAAAGTTAGACTATAACTGTTTAACTTTTCTTTGCTTGCTTCCTTTCTGTGTAGGGTATCGGATCCAAGCCCTTCGCATGCTAGACACATGCTCTACTGCTGAGCTGCATCCCAGCCTCGTTTTATATTTCAGTAGTGGGAAGTACATGTTGACTGCATATCTAGTAAACAGGAAAAGTAAATATCTATTAGTAAAAAAAAATACCGAAAAGTTCTAAAGGGAACAAATATTTCAATTCTAATTCAAGCACTAAACACTCTAAATTTTAAAAATAAAATTTAACCCTTGCTTGTGCCAGGAAACACAGAAAACCTAGCAGCAATGAAGACAGCTTCAGCTGCAGCTCCTGACAAGATTGCAATTTCAAACCTGCCTTCTTGTTCTGCTTTCTTCAGCCTCGTAAAAATATCTCCACATACCACGACTCCCCAACTGAAGAGGAAAAAGCAGTAGGCTTTTAAATGGAGACGGAGTCTAGTGCTCCAGCCCTAATTCCAGCCTTCCCGTCAGCACGTCTGGGTCCTTGCTCAGTTCTGTCCCTGTCATCAAACCTCTTTTATGTTGCAAAAATTAGAAGCACTTTCCCCAGCCTGAGACATCATGAAAATGAATAATGGCTTCTGGCTTTGCTTTGAGGCTTTGCTAAGATGAAATGAGGTCGCAGCCGGCCAAGTGCTTTCTTCCACATCTCAGCCTATGAACCGAGGCAACTCGTGAAACAGCTCTCAAGTTCTGCTCGGTCGCTTGGGCAGTTTCTTCAAATGCTGGTGAAGTTTATAAACTGATCTGATGGCTGGAATGCAGTTAGAACAACAAGCTTTTAAAATATTTAAAACATCTGAACCTGTGAGCTTTTATCTTAGAAGATAAGAATAAAATGAGGGAACTCATTAAATATTTAATCATGCCATGATTTACACTAGAAAAACAGGGCCAACCTCAATGCTATATAAGGTGGTTAAGTAAATCATGGTAGGTATACCTTATGAAATATTACAACCATGAATAATAACAAGAAAATGCCAATATTATTTTAAGTGAAAAAAAAACCAGGATTCAAATATAATCTATAAAGTAAAACACATAAGTGGTGAGTCTTCAATCATATTCCTTTTGCTCTCTGTATTTGAGGAAAGGAGTTCAAATATGTTATAATGACTTGAACAATAAAGGTGAAACTTTATTTTTAAGAGCTACAAGGCCAAGTGTATTGGCACAGTCCTTTAATCCCAGCTACCAGTGACGCTGAGGCAGGAGGATCATTTGAGCACAAGAATTTGAGAGCAGCTGGGCAACAAAGCAAAACCCCCTAGGTTGCCTCAAAACCAAAAACCGAACAATACTTCAATAGTTCCCCTTCTATAAACCTGAGAGCTTGCAGCTAAACTGAAATTTCCCCTTTTTCTAGTGCTAAGGAATTTTCAGCTTGATTTACCAGCAAGGGATTTCCTTCCTTCCTTCCTTCCTTCCTTCCTTCCTTCCTTCCTTTCCTTTCCTTTCCTTTCCTTTTCTGTTCTTTCTTTCTCTTTGCTGCTTCATATATTTTGAAGTCTTACAAACACTCAGAAGATGTTTCAGAGACACAAAACTACGATGCTGCTAGCTGCTGCAGGAGTGGCGTATCCTACTGCACAGGAAAGGTATTAATTGTGTGACCAATGCAGTCTTCCACAAGCAGTGCAAACCTCTTTAATAGCTGAAGCAATTACTAGCAACATATTTCAGAAGTCATTTTTT